CCCTCATCCACCTGCACCATTTCTGGCACCATTACAGAAGACTTCCAAAGTCTTACTTATACTGAAGAACATATGAGAGCAGAACCAAGTCTTACGACCTCAACTGCTTCCCAAATGTGACTACACAGCTGTTTAGAGATGCAGTCTGAGCATACATTCCTATCTGGACTATGCAACAGACTACCGTGTCAGCCAACATCCTTATCTGCAGAAAATTCATATTAACTAAGGATGCATCTTTGTCACATCCAGATTAGCATAATATATGGCTGTGAAATGGCTCTTGACCCAAATGTGAACTCCTCCTGCTTCTCTTGCTTCTGATCTGTCCATCATCAGTCACATGGTGGATCAACTTCCTGACATGACAGAAATGTTGAGATATTTGTTCTCAGTCAGACCACAGAGTCAATCTGACTCATCTTCTGACTACAGGATTGCTAGAGCTGATCCAAGGCAAGATTCAGACTGAGAAGAAAGGAAAAGGACAGTTGATAGGAGTAGCTAGGTTAGACAAAGTATAATGTGAAATTACACCTTAATATAGAGGCCATGGACAGGATAGTAACACATAGTCCACTATTTCAAAGAAAATGAATCAATAAGGGAGAGCTTGTTGCCAATATCTGCAAATATCCTGCAGTTTATCAAGAAACAGAATAAAACTGGAAAAATGGTCAGACTCGAAATGGTGTATCCAAAGAAGGGCAAGGAAGCTGATCAAGGGGGTGGACTGTAAGTCTTAAGAGAAACAGCTGAGAGAACTGGAGTTGCTTAGCCCCAAGAAAAGAAGACTCAGGGTGGACCTTACTACTCTCTACAATTACCTGAAAACAGGTTGCAGCCAGGTAGGGGTCAGTCTCTTCTCCCAGGTAACAAGTGACAGAACAAGAGGAAATGGCCTCAAGCTGCACCAGGGGAGGTTTAGATTGCATATTAGGAAAAATTTCACCAAAAGGATCGTCAAGCACTGGAACAGGCTGTCCAGGGAAGTGATGGACTTACCATCCTTGGATGTATTTAAAAGTCATGTAAATACGGCACTGAGGGACATGGTTTAGTGGTGAATGCAGTGGTAGCTGGGCCAATGGCTGAACCTGATGATCTTGGAGGTCTTTTCCAACATAAATGATTCTATGAAAACATCACTCCTCAGACTAAAGAAGTCAGCTCACTTAAAATGACACACTCTTCTCTAGAGACAGGCTATGGGCAAAGACCATAGTATGTGCTTCAAACAGCTTAGTAACACCAATGCTTAAGCATGAGATAATCTGTCCATAACTATATTTTAAAACTAGACTCATGTCTCTGTGGCCCTAAATACTAAGAAAGTGATCATGATTTTCAGTCATCTTGGCTGAAGTTAGAACACTAAACTTTACCTTGCATACAAGTTGTACAGATTCAAAATGGATCAGTCTCCTCATTTTCCTACTAGGAAACTCCTTTTTCCAAGATGACAGGAAGCTGTTTGCTCTAATAAAAAAATCAACCAAACTGTCTATCAAACTCTCCTGAGCTGTTCTTCAAAGGGGATGGGTGAGACTGACTGGGGACAAAATAGCTTTAAGGTAATTTCTGTAGCTGTAAGAATTACTTCAGGATTACAGCTGATTACTGTTTCCACTTGGAAGAAAGCTTTTCCATGACAGAAGGTACCTTTCAACCCCCACTACACCTCAGACGTATTTGGAAGCTTGAATGAAAATGGTGGCAAGTCATTTGAATCTATTCCCTATTATTCTGTGGGACTTGTTACTACAGAACATGGCAAAGAGAAAGGTCTAGGTCGAAGGACTAAAAGCTGACTTTTTTTTCCCCACTGGGAATATCAGAAGCAGCAGCTGGCTAGAGAGCCTCAAATTAACTCAGACATTCGGTCATTTGAATTAGGCTGACCCTGGAAAAGAGCCATAACAGTCACCAAGAAAGATTTGAAATCTACTGAGACTGCCATCTACACAATTGAATTCTGTACACAGAAACCTTCCCTGGAAAGAGGTGATATGAATTCGAACCCACCAGACAGTTCAAGAACAAGTCATTCCACTTCAGGAAAAGTTAGCCCCAATTAGGACAAAACTGAATAAACTCAAGTCAGCCTGGGCAGTTCAGCCTCGTGCAAGTTCTATTCTTTCAAGTACTCTTCATTTAGTCTCAATCCTTCTAGTAGGATATCACATCATTGGTCTTAAAGGGAGACCACTGTTTATAGTTATATTATGGTTCAGTCTACCACCAACAAGCCTAGAAAAGGGAAAAAAATTATCAGATTAAAGGGCTCCTGGATGGCTAGGTTTTAGGTCAGGCCACCAGAAAAGTCTTGATACAGAGCACAGACCACTCTGTCTCACAGGTGGAAGAGGGATCCGAAACACACCTGGATTACCCAAGTACATCAGGTTTAACTACGAACCTCAGTTCCAAACATGGACTGTTGAGATTCCACAACAAAACGTGGTACTAAACAGCTCATCATCCACCTACAGGTCCATTGGCACTGACAAGACTGGTTCTGGGGGAACTATTTGTATACACGACTTTATTGAATGCTGTTCCTCTCGTGACACCTCTGACAGAAAGGCAAGCCACTGGCATGACAGGTTCTGAAATTCAGACATCACTGGCACAGACAGCCCAGAACATGCAGACAGGTCAGACACATGACACCTGAACACTGCTGCTTGGGACTGTTTCACGGGTTTGAAGTTATGCCAAAATCCAAACATTTTCCCTAATATAGTGAGAAGTGCAAGTAGATGTGAAGTGCACGTATTGATGACACCTGAAGCTTCTATTAAATGCACTGCAAATATACTTTTTGATGTCTGTAATAAATACAGATACCTTACAACAGAATGACATTATCCTTCAGAGAAACACAGAGAAGTTAATGGAGGCCAGGACCTAAGACACAAGCAAAACTTCAGGAATCCCTAAGTTGTTCTATACTTGGGTAAGAACAAAGTTTCATTCAGTACCAAGAATTGCCAGACAATACACATTTAACAGACAGGCCTTTAATCTACCTTAAAACAGCAGTCTCAAATGTCAGTGCATAACACTCTGTACCACTCCCTCTGTACCTCCATCACAGTTCAGTCTCAACCTTTGTGAATTTAATACCACTGAAAACCTAGAGGATTCACAGGCACTATTAAAGTACTGCCTGTTTTAAACCCACCAGTGAAAGATACCATTCACTTTGATGTAAACTTACTACAGAGAAACTATTTCAACTTCCAATGACACTAACGCTGGAAGTTCATATCATGACTAGAGTTGGTAGCCATATCAAGATAGTTTACATGACTTTTTACAGCCACCCCTCCCCGTGATTAGCTGGGGAGCTCAAAGCCATTGGGATTCTATGGAAGTCTTAGGGAAGACATACTTTGATCTAGCCCAAATTTATACTGAGAGTTAGAATAACATATACTAGAGCAAACACATGAATGGAAATGCAACATGGCTGCCAGACCTTCTTTTTCTTTCTCCTCCCCTTTCAAAAAACAGAGAAATTGCAAAGGTGAGAGCTGAGAAAGTACTGGTTGTACAGTGTTTCTATGAAAGACACTAAGAACTGCATTAAAAATGGCATGTCTACAAGTATGCTACTTTTAATGGCAGTCATGAAATTATGGTCAAACTGAACTGATTCTTTCAATATTTTTAATAATTTTTTAATATAATACTTTTAATTCTTCTTTTAATTCTTAAATACATATCAGGTGTTTTAAAACAGCTTATGGGGTCAGTATTAAAGAACTAGGGAAAATCTTAGCCTTGTTGTCTAATTTTCTGTCCAAACAGGCAATTTGATCACACACATTTCTTTCTGCCATATTACAGACATACATCATACCAAACATTAAAGAAGCAAACCTTCCCTTGAAATACTTCAGGCAGAACGTTTGAGGAAACACCAATTATCTTCTGGCTCCCTTCCACAATAACAGAATCTCACATTGGACTCATCCTGGGTTTTATCATATTCTCTTCATTTCAACGCTGCACACTGAGGCATTGCACTCACATATCCCTGGGCAGCTTAAATTTTTGTGCAGATTTCAATACAGCAACATTTAAACAATAAATAACATTATTCCTTTTATTGATCTAGACCCAAACATTCCTAATTGATTACACAGACAAATGGATATTTAAAAAGTGAACTAATTACCTCTCAGAATCTCTATTTGGATATGATCTTGCAAGTGGTGATACTGCATGGCTAAGAACAATGTAGGCATAATCAAAAACTTGTTTCACTTGCATGGCACCGTAAGAACTTCTGCCAACGTCGTTTCCTGAAATAATGTGACAGTCATCAGATCATCTTTTTTCAATATCAGTAACCAAAAAATTATTCATACTTAAAGCTCAGAAGCCTTAACAATACAGCCTAATTCTGTTCAAGCTGTTTATCCCATCCTAATCACATCAGGAAGGCACACATCAAGTGTGCCTATCTCAACAGAAGTTAACCTTAGGAATGACACTTAACATTATGCATTCAATTTACCACTTTTAAAATACTCGCGCACCAGCACCTGAAAGAAACGGAGCGCAGAGATCAGCTTAAAGCTCTTATAGCTGTTTTTCAAGAGTGAACCTACCAAGCCCAAAGCATCATGTCTCACTTACCAGCAGAGTTTCTGTAGGGCAAATTCAGCTTAAAATGACACTTGTGCAGCCGCATTGTCTTCAACTGGGTCAGATATATGCACATCAACCCCTATTTCACCTTATCAAAACTAGACATTAATAGACCAACTCATACATACTATTTATCTCCACAGGATAAACCAGTTGGTCAAAATCTACCACAGAGGATTCCAGAAGTTTGTACAGCATTGTTTTTTGATCAAGTTACTGGCACTCTCAACTGCTCTTCTTTAGGCATGAGTAACATTTTAACCAGAATTCCTTCCAAATCCAGTGTCATGTGAGGAACTGCAGAAGCTAAGAACATGGTACAGTTTCTATATCACTGAAAATGTACAAAAATTGGTCTCCCATTTGATACCTTTGACTTTTGCTATTAATAGCATGAAACATGTGAGGGGTTTTGTAGATATATTTGGTACCAGACACCAAAAGTTCACTGTCAGCATTCAACTTAAGAAACACAAATAAAACTTCCTTCAAATTGCATAAAATACAGACTAGGTCTTGAGTAGGTAGAAAACTTACAGTGAAAGCTTCCCTCCTTCAAAATGATGTGTGAAATGCTGTGAGAACACTGGAGAGGGATAAACCACTGAGCATGATTCTTTAAAGCTTGAAAATCAGATCAGGGCCCATAATTAAAAGAAATTAATGAAAAATGGCATTTTGAAAATTGATGGGTAAAGGACAGAATCTATCCTTTGGAGGACTGAATCTGACTTCAGAGGAATTCTTCATTCCCCTAAGCATTTTGTCCAGCAAGCCATTATAGACAAACATGCCGAGATCTGTCATACAAGGGGGAAAAATAAAACAACCTTCACTTGACTACTTGGCAACACATTTTAATCCTTCAAGATTCTACAGCCATAATGCCACTCTAACAGAAAAGCATAATCAGTGAAAACAGACTGAGAGCAAGAGCATTTTGGGAAAACAGAACTTTTCCAGTAATTTACATGGTCAAATAAAAACTAAACAAGGAATACTTCCTGAAGTATATAAAAATACTTTACTGAAGTAACTGTCTTGTTCTGAACGCACTGCTGCAGTATGCAGCAGCTACTAGGCTCAAAATTACAGAAGCCTCTTTAAATGATTTATTTACTATTGGACTCTATTCTGAAGTAGAAGCAGAGATCAATGTAGGCTTAGGGCAGTGAATCTAGGAGAAGACATAGGAGTATTCTTCACAGATGACTTCACAAATGACTTAGTCCAAAGGCAGCTGAGAGAAGTGACCGAGGTATTTCAGTGGTAAAGAAATCAGAGCAGAAAAATGTTAATTCTACTAGAAAAGTAATGATTAATTCAGTATAGGTTTTTCAGCAGCAGGACACTTGTGTCCAGCAGCAGTTACCACATAATGGCACTGTTGTGCCAGCAAGAGAAATCATAAGCCTTCCCTAATCCACTTACAGCAAACTCAGGCAGTTCAGTTTAAATCAACAAAGTTGTGTTTGAGTGACAATTGAAGCAGATTTGAGAACAGAGGCAGAATAGCTCATGCCTAGGTTCCTGGACTGCCTCCCTCTGCACCTGTAATTAGTTCATAAAGTGTCTGAATAAACCAGTTTTAATCAATTACACAGTCTGCAGAGCTTCTGATTTACACTGCAGCTGGAGCTACTGTGAACTGCACCAGTCAACTCTGTATAGAGATGGCCCTACCTAATCAAGAAAGCAGCATATTAATGAAGCCAAAAGATTGCATATTTGCATTTGCTGTCCTGAATAGATTTTCCTCAGAGATCACTCTCATTAGAGGATCATGCCTTACACAACTGAGCATCCTTCTTTTGTCACAATCTGGACTGATCAGTTAAAACTTGTAACCCAAATGCTCTCACTTTTTTAAAAAAACATACATATTTCAATACTCAGATGTACATTAGCAGATAACAATGGTGTGTGATTTCATGTATAATTCAATCCTTATTCTTTCTAACAAAGCCTTCATCCCTAAAGGAGCATGTCCAAAGTTTCTACCACTTGCTATCAGTATCCTTTATCTGAAGCAGTTTTAAGAATACAGCCCAGAAAAGGTAAAGGTAACTAAAACTAAAGCAGACCCATTTATGTTAAGCTATTATCTAGTAAACACCTTTTTGCAAGTTTCAGAATTAAAGAGGTTCTTTCAGATGCTAAGTTCAATGTATTTGTGTATTTTTATAAACATGTTTTATACACACACATATATATTTGCAGGTTCTAATGACAAATAGGAGATACTGAAAAGCTGCAATAAGTAATTCTGGGCAGCCACTAAGGCTAGAAGAGACAATCCCATCAACAATTGTTGCCAATTTAGTTACTTCCTGTACTTGTAACCTATCGAGATGTAGAAACAAGCAACATGAAGCATAAGTCCTTCAAGTTAAAGAGTCTCTTTCCAAACAAAACACATTGAATTTAAGGTTTAGAGCTTTCATTAGAGCCCACAGCAATTCAGAATGAAGAAAAAGGGATGGGAGGGAAAGGAGCAGTAGAGGCGGAACTCCCAAGTTTTAAACTCTAATGTGTTAAAGGGCAGCAATTTAATTACTCTAGCCACTGACAATCTGAAACAAGATCAAAATCATTCCTGTTCTGAACATCAGAAATGACTGAAGGACCTTGATAATCACCTGATTCCTAAAGGCATAAAATAATAAGTCTCCCTAAAAGTCTGCTGCATAAGTGCCAAGCTTGTTTTACAACCACAGATTAAAAGTTTGTCACCTGCAATCAGAGTTATGTCTTCCAAGACAGCATGCTGCTAGAACACCACCACACAAACCTTTTCTAAGATGGTATCATCTACTCTGCTCCAACATATTCCTGTGAATAGACTTCTGAGTGCCTGGCTTTGCAACTCTCCTAAATAAATCCTTTTACCTTTTATACATCAAAAAATAGGACAATTGCTTTGAGAAATGGAAGTGGTGCAGCTACAGGATGTTTACAGAAACTCCCTCCTTTTGGAGTATGTTAAGGGTGAGGTAATGAGATTTTCATCTCATTACCCTATCCTAGGACACTAACTCAAGATGAGAGATGTTACATGATTTAAAAAGGTCAAGTATACACAACTACTTCAAAATGCATCACCAGTAGATTAGTCTGATAACTCAAATCCATACTACAACACTTCCCACTTTAAGTGTGGATTCCTGAAATCTTTCTTGGAATCTTGTTTCTCAAATCACAGAAGTTATCATTTTCTGGCACACAATAATAAATCTTTGAAAATCCCAGAGGAAACCCTACAGCACCCAGAAGAATCCAAGCAAAACCCATTACGACCAAAACAGCAACACAACAGTTTGATGCCTGTTCCTTCTAAACCCAGGAACTAACAGAAGGTACTGAGTAGGTAGAACTGAAGTATCATAACCTTCTGATAACACCTTACATCTGTTAGCCAAACATCACCATTTCAAACTGAAGAAAACACAGTTCCTCCAACTTAAAGGAACTAATCCCACTAAACGTGTTCCTGTCCCCTGCAAGATTACTCAAAGTTATTCTTATGAGTTATACCCTTCAGTATCCCATTGCTGAACTAGTGCATAATCCCACAGGAGGGACTTTTACACAACTCTGAGAAATTACTAGGTCTTCTTTTTATCCCTGTATTTTTTGTCACATTTTTGGATTATAAAGTCATTTTTTGAAGTCTTCTTCCAAGGCTTAACTGGAGATTTAGAGATAGTTGTGATCAGGCTAAAAAAAAAAGATTGAAAAAATATTAAAGACTTGCACATACAGTGCGAACACAGGTTTGCAGGGGCAAAACTCTGTGACAGCTTATGCTAATTTAAGTCAAGAGACATCTGTGACCACTCTACCAAAATATTTGTTCCCATCTCCTTCACAGTTCTGCCACCAGCCCTCACAGAGTTAGACACTGAGTGGATCTGAATGCAAACTAATCAGAGATGATGATTTGTCAACTGGGCAAGGACCTGAACCCTTGGAAAAGTTTTTTGTACTGGGACAGAAGGAGGAACAGAACTAAACCAATCAACAGAATTCTTGACATTATCTACATACACTTGACAGGTAATTTGAGATACTGTACGAGTATGTGACTAAGTGTAGATCTAAGGAGGCTGTACTCATGTGATCTGATTGAAAGAGCCATCCTATATGTTCTACATAATTTTCCTCCTAGCTCCATCAGGTAAGTTCTGAAGGTCTGTATTAGCTGTCAGAAAATATTCCTATGGGACATAGTGGTCAGATAACTTCAAGCTATTGTCAGCTTTCATTTCCATTGCCAAAACACTATCTCCTGCAAGAATTACATTATCTCAGCCCACATAAACTCCTCTAGAATTTAATTCTTACCAACTCTTTGATAGCATACAACTAGATACCTTTTTTCTAAACTATAGTTCTTCACTGCTGCAAGGTTTATGCTAGGAGGAACAGTACAGAGCCCTAAAATTTAATTTTTCTTCTCCAACACACTATTAGCACTGATTAAAACATTGTATAGCATATGTAATTTCTTCTCCTTCAGTCCTCAGCAGATAAGAAAGAACAGAACTGGTGGGCAGTGGATGTTTTTGACTCTAAACAATTGTGGTTCATGCTGCTATTCAGATGGATCTTCAGGCAAGTAAGTACAGAGCTCCTGAAGGAAATCTCAGTGACATAATGGCAGTTCTGCAAAATCACTCATATGCCTGGCCAAGTACAAGAGTCATGGTGGACACAAACTCAGAGCTACAAACATATCAGATATGTGGTTAGACAAATGAGTATCAGAGCCTACAGTGTGTTCTAAAGAACTATGAACATTCAGCATATTGAGTATTTCACAAGGTGCCAGACTTCAGCTCCTGATCCATGGTATTTGCTTTAATAGTGCTGTACATAAGCAGTCTACATCTACAAGATGTGACACTATGGAGTTTGAGTGCCAATTACATTCTAGAAATACTAATGCTGAAGTCCAAATTACCTGAAAATTGACTTTACTAAAAAGTTGTTTTGGAATTTTAGCTACTTGTGGCAGTCTAAATAGAATACAAACTGAGTACTTTAAAGCTGGAAATGTTTTTGAGGCTCTCAGCCAAAATTAATCTTGATTATTTTGAAGGTTACTGAATCAAAACCAAATCTTAAAAAAAAATTAACTTTATGTTAGTTACTTTTAAAAGTACATGCAACTAAAGCTGGCATTCTCTAAAGGTCCCTGTGCTGCACAGAAGCCAGTTATGCAAACAATTCTCCACACCCCACCACCAGCCAGTCCCTTGCTGTATATTTATGGATACACACCCATGTTCCTATGTGGTCTCTACAGCACTGCCCTGCGGGACAGATACCTCATCTGGGGCATTTCTTTCCCATATGGTATAATTTATCTGCACTATGGCACCACAGATCGTCGTGAGAAAAGCTATACCTTCCATTCTCATAATGAACAATGTGGAGAACTGTTCCTACTAACAAACCCTCTCCCAGGATTTCCTGGACTTCTTCCTTTTACTGTCTCTCAGTGCTGTCAGAGACTCTTATTATATACTCAACACAGTTCTGAATCTCCAATTCATTATGCAACTGCACTGTGCCCGTGCAATTCAATTTATTCAGGCTATGAATCTTGGGAGACTTCAGGTCCAGATCCCTTAGCCCTTCTCCATAACTGCACCTCTACACCAGCAACAGTCTCTTTCAGTGCAGCTTCTTAATTTGTTTGACAGACTAACAGAAGCCGTGAATCACAAGTTGAGCCAAAGCCCTGGAATACTGCAAGTGTACAATCTTACCAGGCAGGAGAGGATCTTCAATACATAGCATGGATGGTCTGTATCCATTAGTCATGACTTTCATGATTTCTTCTTTGGCAATATAGGCACCTCCATTTTTTATTCTAATACCAGTTTTCAAGTAGTTAAAGTTCCTTCCATAGAGTTCAAAAAATTCTATTAGAAGCATTCCAAGGTTTTCATCAGCTCTTCTGGCATCAATTCTTGGATGCAGCTGTGACAAAACACAGTTTTTGATTATTAAAAATTAATAGTTTTCAGACCAAGAACACAGGGCAACGAAAAGCTCTCATTTAAACAGCTGAGTATTATTTCACAGAAGTCTCAACTCAGTCATTCCTTCTTCATGAATTTAAACTACTCTCACACAACCGAGAGGGGGCAGCACTTCAGCAGTATCTGGAAGCCCAAGAATTCTTTCAACCTTCATCATGGCTTTTTGAGGCTTAGGGAATTCTTTCCCCTAAGTCAAAAGCAATAAAGAAGTATTGCTGCTACTAAATTACAGCTTAGTATGTACTAATTGTTATAATTAGTTAGTAACAAAGTAATACCTGATTTTTCACAGAAAATCTATCCCTCAATGTTTTCAGAAGGAGGGGCAGAATCTATCTGTCCCAATTAAAATACAGTTCTTGTCTCTATCTCCACATATTATATTTGGTATATAAAATCGATAGTAATATTTCAACAAGCAGCAGCAGCAGAGAATATGTAGTTTTTCCATCACCACAGCTGCCAAGAGATGCTAACTCCAGACTTGTTCATACCTGTAGGAAGCGTACTGTCACAAAAACTTATTGGAAGGCATTGTGACTCATGTGTAACACCGTAACTCAGTTATTTCATCAGTTATGTACAGCATATGTCAGTCTTACGCATGTCAAAACCTAAACAACACAATTAAAAACCAACCTGACTGTTGGATTTCATAATTTTAATAAACACTGAAATCAACTACTCTGCACATTCAGTATCAGTAGTCTAGGAAGCAACACACAAACTGCATCCTGGCAGATTTACACAACACCATCAGGTACCATTAGGTAACACCATTCAGGTACACACCCAGGTACAGAAAACAATGCACAGCCCCTATGCCTTTCACAAGGCTCCTGCTGCTGTTTCACTTCACACAGGGAAGAGAAGTTCTTAGATGTTTGAGAGGTAGTCCATAGGAACTGCCAACAGTCAAACGCTTAGAGCCATAACAACAAAGCTGTGCATTGTGAGGGGCAGTCAGAAGAAACAGTGCAACAAAAGGGCATAGGTACAAAAATCAAAATATTTTAAAGAACACAGAAACAAATAAGGAACAGACTTACCTGCAGGAAACTAATTGCCATTAAAATTAGGCTGTAAGAGCTAATTCCACCAGTAAAAACTTCATTCAAATCCCTCTGAAGGAGGAACTGTTTTAATACTAAAATCAAATAAGGCAGCAAAGAGTATTTCTGCAAAGCAAAGTAAGTCTTATCAATTACAATGTCAACATTCCAGAACAAATTAAGCACTACACCATCTCAATACACAAAAATTCGTCTAATACAAAAATTTTCAGTGATGTGCTATAAAGTGTTTCCATAGGAAGAACTGAAACATGCATTTTTTTATTCTAGATGCTGATGAATAGACTTCAACTCTGAAGAGCTTACATATAAAATTTATCCCCCAAACATTGAGATTTTTATATCCTTCTCTGAATGCCAGTGTCACTTACTATAGTCAAAACTTGCAATCTGAATAATACTTTTACTGAAGAGCATAAAAGGATACTTTTAAGTATGTAGCTACAGAAGACCTGGTTTATAGAAGTTTAGCAAGACAGTATTCATAATCAACCATCACTGAAATTCAACGTAAGCAAACCTTGAAAAGATACTCCCTTTAGAAGACAAGTTTAGTACCTATCTGCAGATCTAGACATGATTGCAGAAGTCCCTTCAGTGTACAGGTTTATTCAGGCAAACAGCTAGCACTCGAAGGGAACACGGAATAGATACCAATAGAAAATAAATTAAAACATCCATGTTTAATTAATGAAAATAGTCTTCAGCAGTAAATTTTCAAGCCATACCAAAAAAGGTTAGCTAAGCATTTAAGCACATCCTTGGTAAGTAGTATAACATTCACTACATGGTTGGTACCTTCATGTATTCCTTGATAAATCGAGCTGCCTTCACACCAGTTTCTACATTAAAACTGATATCAACTTTCACTTCTGTCTCCTGGTCAGTAAGTTTTATTATTGGTACCTGAAAAGATTAAAACAATTATGAATCCCCGGAAATACAACACTGGTGCTATTCTCTAGCTTACTCACTTAAGACAGAGATACTACCAATGCTGATTAATGCAACTATCAAGTCTGTCTTTTTGAGAAGAGTTAACAACCCTAACTTGACTGACAAGTAAACGTTTTTTTTTAGTTTGGTGATTAAAAACACGCACACGTACAATTACATTAACTTACAATCACTGTTACACCCATAGTTATTGGACATGTGCCTTCATAGCTGCAATACCAGTGTTTTGTAAGACAACTAAGTTTAGTTAATTTAATAACTTGCTCCTGTTAATAGATGTTCTAACCTAATAACCTGCGGGAACTGAACTCCTCTGACCCAGCTCTGTGCCATTCACTTGCTAAACTGATAGAAGACTAACCTAGCAGAAAGCAATGTCTGTTGGTTTATCAAGCTGAACTGGTTCACTGTAGTGTCAAATGAAAGCCAGATGAGACAAAGCAAAGCAGAAGCAGCAGTACAGCAGCAATAAATTATTACAGATTGACTGAATATGTAGTTCAGCCTCACACCATCATCTGGAAAGCAGTATCTTCCAAAACCATCTTAAATCATAACCTCAACTTCAGCTGACAGTATTTATTTTAAATTGAACTTTATGTATTTTTAATCTGAAATGGAAAATGAAGAAGAGTAGATGTATGGCATCATCTTATACCAACAGCAGAAGGAATAAAATAAGAAAGGCTAATAGAATTGTAAGCCTAGCCTACTGCCATTTTCCATCACTAACTGGTAACACAGATTCTGAAAATCCCATTTGTTCTCAAGTAAACCAAAGACTACCAGAGCTACTGTTATGTGCTGCTACTCCAATGGAAGCCACAAGAATATTCTGGACCTAAAAGAGTTAGCCTGTTTTGGAGACCACAAAACATAGCAGTTTGTTAACAGAAGTTTCGAATACTCACCCTAGTCTCCTGGGAAAACATCACTTGCTCAGTAACATAAAATTCTCATACATTAAGTTTTTAACATATTCAATGTGATTTGTTAGGCTTACAAGATAGATGCAAGAGATAATACTCATCAGTTTCACAAATTAAATAAAGCTCACAAGTAGCATATTTTGGAAGGCAAAAACAAATGTTAGGTTTGGAACATTTCACTATGTCATTAGAAACAAGACAATCGGAAAATTGTTTTCCAAGACAGACAGCTCTAGTTAGTGGTCCCTGGTTAAACAAATTCCCCTCAAAGGTCAATGGAAAAACATTATGCTAAGAGTAAATTTATTTTACTGGATATTTTGCAAATACTGCCTTTCAGATCCCTATTGACGACATAAGCACAAGATATGGCCTTCCAGCAAACACAGTACACTATTACCACTGTCCGTGTGAAAGACTACATGTTATTGCTAAGCACGTACAGATTCTACTGAAATCTTGCTCAGAGAGCTTAAGGCAATATAATTTGCTTCATGAATTAAAAGCACATATTTACCACCAACATCTTAAGGGATCTGAAAGTTTTTTAGTTCAGTATTCCAAAGACTATTACTTACCGTAGCTTTATCAAGTACTTTAATGGAATATGGTTCAGCCACATTGTGTTTTCTTAGCGCTTGCTCCAGCAGCTGTAAAGGAGGCCGTTCCCATTTCCCAAAAACAACCAGATCAATATCACTAGACAAAAAGAACACAATATGAAATCCATTAAGTCTAAAGTATAATACACCACCAAAAAATACGATCAAATTGGCATTCTACATATCACAAGTCCTACAGGGTGATCACTGTGCAGCTTTTAATCTATGTTCCCAATTAACTCCTTTTAGGATTGTTAAGCAAGAGTCTACTGTGCTCTAGGACCCAAAGCAGCATTTTACTGTCCTGCCTCCACTTCTCTGATGAGTTCTTTGAGGTCCTCTCCCTTTTACCTTTCCTGCTCCCTCCCCTCTGACTTCCACAGCCCAATTCTATCCCTAACCTATATACCCATGTTGACAAGCACATTAATAGTCCAAACCATTTTTATCAGTGATTACTATTCATAGAAATGAAATTTCCAGTGCTTTCCTACTGAAAATTTAATCAATGTAAAGATAACACAGTCTTTTACACAGAGCTACACAGGTTTTCCACATCCATCAATTGAACCATTAAGTGATATAAAACAACAAATTAAGTAAGACATTTTGCTCTCCAAACCTATGAGAATACACCACAGTGATGACTCTTTCAATTTTACAAAGTAACTCTGTGATAAGTGACACACTCTCAGTAATTCATCTTATTTAACACAACAGTGTTTACACAGTAAACAATAAATATTCATTTCCACTGTATGTTTAAAAGGGTCAACAGAGCAGTATGATGATACATAAAAAACTTATTGCAAATCTTGAAGTTCAAAAGCTTTTCCCTTTGTCACATTAAACACTAGACAAAAGTTTGACTGAAAGTTTGACAGGTTTACACATTCCAATTTAAACTCCTCTTTGAAATTTACCATTTCTCTAAAAGGAAAACTTTATGTAAAAGTAAACTATTACTTACCTAGTTGGAAGATAAAGCCCTGTACTAAAGCTGCCAAATATCTGGACCTGAAAAAAAACCACACGAAGGAAATATCTTGTAACTATGGATGATCACTTAATTTTACTTTCAGAAGACAATATTTTTCTCGACTTGTTAAGGATATAGTCTATATCCTTAAAGTATTATACACTACACTAAGCATGTACAACTACACTTTTTCTTACACATGCAACTTTAGAGGAAATTGGGTACTTCTTTAACATGAAATAAATACCAATCCTGCTAACAGAGCAGAGATTTAAACAAATGCTTTTCAGTATTTATTTCCAGTTTGACAGCTTTTATCACTTTCCTTCCTTCCTGCTTCCTTTTTTCCTCACAGAACAGCTTTACTGAAATTGGAAGAGTTTAAGGGAATAAATTTTCCAAATTTTTAGGTTTAAAAAACAGTAAGTGCATCTAAACGTATAATTCAGATAAAGATAAATACTCCAGATTTTACTGTTAAGGATGACTATGAAGTAGCAGCAGGTATCTTTGTGTGGAAAAGCAGGCATGCTGGAGATAAATCCACAGTCCACATCAAATATTTTTAGTATGCTTCCAATCTAAAGAATTGAGACCTTCTTCACCCTCTGATAGAGCAGAGCACAATTTATAAGTACACTTCTTTCTTCCTATGAAAAGGTTGGGCAACACTGGGTCATTTTAGTGTTTCTATCTATTTCCACGAGGCAGAAAAGTCTTACTATGAAGGAAAAACACGGGTAAGGATGAAGCAGATGAGCTTTACAGTATCTTTAGCTTAGTGCTGTGGCCAGAGGCCTCACTTTTTGCCACAGGAGGATATGAAATCAAAGTGATCTGAAGCATTTTTCTGCTTACAAATTACAGTGCTACTATCTGATAATCATGAGGGTGATGCTAGAGATACAGTTCTTTTTGGATGAGACATTCTTTTTGTATGAGCAAACTTACTCATTGGGTTACAAAGTGTTTGAAATTACACAAACATTGGTTGCAAAGTATCTCAGGGAGTGCAATTTTCCCATTAAAGTAGGGCTAAAGTAACCTCCTGAATGTCAAATTCATGAAGAGTACAAAAAAACCCAAGAAAATCTGTGTTTAACTGCTCTTTTGTAAAACATTATTATTTACAAACATCCACAGTCAGGATGCCTTACAGCAATGAACACATAGGTAGTCAGTCTCACTTTAACATCCAAAATTAAGTTATAAGACAATCAATTTACAGAACCACAGAATCAACCAGATTGGAAAAGACCTCTGAGATCGAGTCCAACCCATGACCCAGCACCACTCTATCAACTAGACCACAGCACTAAGTGTCACATCCAGTCTCTTCTTAAATACCTCCAGGGACTCCACCACCTCCCTGGGCAGCCCATTCCAATGTCTGATCACTCTCTCTGTATAAAATTCCTTTCTAATGTCTAACCTAAACCTCCCCTGGCATAGATTAGGACTGTGCCCTCTTGTCCTACTGCTTTATTACTTTAAGAAATGCACTACTTAAAGTGGACAGCTCTTCACATTCCCAGTTCTCAAAATGAAAAAATAATCAGTAACATTCATTAACCTGACATCTAGGTTTGAAGTCTCCCCCAATTTTCAAAATGAATTGCCAAATACTGCAAGAGCTGCGATGTGAAGTCAATTGCCTTAAGTTTGAAGTATTATCTGTTAATTTCTAAAACACAGAATATAATAGCAAGGTTAAGTGAATGAAGCTCTACAATTTACTAGAGAAGCAAATCACAACTTAAATTACACTCACATCAGCTGTAGGCCAGAGATCTTTGATGACTGTTTCTATTCTTTTTACCACTTCTCTTCTCATAGCTGCTTCTTCAGGACGAGGGGACATGAAGTCATAGAAGTCAATTATTTCTTCATGTAGTCTAATGGGGAAAGTAGGATCAGTTATAATGACAATTTAACTATTACAATAAATTTTACCAGAAACAGGCCACAGGCTTTATTCAATATCATTCTTTAACCAAAAGACTCAGAACACTAACTCTAGTAGACATTTACTAAATTTCTTACTGGTTCAACATTGGAAGCCAAATTCAATTCCTGTTTCTCTATGTTTATTTTCTTTAAAAAACAAAGTTGAATCTTAAAAACTACGTAATGACACAAATGTGAAATGGCACCAGAACAACTAAAATCTTCAAATAGGTTTATTCTTCCAGCAGTTCTTACTTCTGTGTATGTGGTAGCTTACACAGACTTGCAAACAGGCCACTGGCATTGATGCATTTCTGTGAAGGGCAATAAAAAGGACATTTGAGTATTTCTTGATATGAACATGTCCACTTTGACAAATGGGGATTCCCTTGACACTCAAACCCTTTATTAGCCGTTAATTCACACAGGAAGTGACCTTTCCACTGAATGCAGAGTAAGAAGTGTTAAATATGTTCTCAAGTGTAAAGTATTTTAATACCAGTGCTACGTGAAGAGTTCTGACACTGGAACCTTATACACCTATTAAGCCCTTTTGTTTCCCATCTCCCAATACTACAGAACACTTGCTGCCAAATTTGAGTTTTAAGGTGAATGCCACGTTTGCTTTTTTCAGTGGAAAAGCATCAAGCTATGCCAAACAAAACAAAAAAAAAAAAGCAAATAACTACCGCTGTGACATTTTACAAAGACATCTTTTGATGTTGACACATTTTTAAGATTTCTCTCTAACTCAAGAAACATATCTAGTCAACAATGCAGTGAAATCCAAATACTGTCCTAAAACCAAAAATCAATCTATAGTTAATATACTTAGCCTTTCAAAAGTAAAATTTAATACAACTCCAGAAAAACTCATAACTCTTCACCTGAGACTTCTGCAACTCATTTTAAAAGGTATTTCCAACTCTAACAGATAAAAATTAGGCATATCTGTTGGAGGTTAAGTGTCAGAATTCAATACACAAAGAGATTTCAGCAGCAAAGCACAAAGACACTTCCAAAAAGCATACATATTTAGAATTACTGTTTGCCCTTTCTCTGATCTTAAACTGAGCCTGGATCCCTAAATGAACATTTAAGTACACTGCAGACTACATTTCAATCTGTTGATGAATCTACTTGATTCCAAAACTTTCGAGCAAGACAGAAAATGCAAACTAACATGACCCTGTTTTGTTTACAGAAAGTATGCTATTTTCCTTTGCAAGACAACAAGACCAAAGAATAAAATACTTGCAACACACCTAACAGCAGTGGGGCCAAACTGAAGACTTCCTATTCTCCTGCCTATAAAAATTTGCAGTAAGTAGACACAGGGTGAAAGCAAGGAAAAGCAGGAAAGACAAAGGGGCAGCCATCCTTCCAAGCCTCCAGTAATTTCCTTTGGCATACTTTTGGGGTGGATCCCAATCATGATGCATATTAGCTCAAAGGACTTTTCTTTCATTGATTTTTCCAGGTCTTTCAGTCCATTTATGCTTTTGTCACAACGGCATTCTATGAGAATTTAAGTGTGCATCAAAGTAAAGAGAACTTTGTTTTAAATTGTTGCCTGGTAATGATTTTATCTGATGCTCTTTTTCTTGGGGCAAAAAAAGTTATTACTGGCAGTTCATCTTAAAACGTAACACTTCACAGGTTCTCAATTCATATCCACTTGTCTCTATCCACCAGCACTTTTCCAAGCTACCAATCCTCATTGATTTCTCTCTCTTTACACAAAAGCAAGTCCAAAGTTTGATCACTGCTAACCTTCTTCAGCTTGTTTTCAGTTTGCACCACATTTTCTGACAGGTGGCAAACACACACAGAGTCAACACGGAATTCTGCCCTTCAGTCCAACACACACCTGTTTTCATTTTATTGTCTCTACATTCGCCAAGATTGCTGCTGCTACTTGAGTATACAGCTGCTCTTTAAAAGAAATCATTATGAAGGAGCTTTAAGGTGTTTTCTGAACAAAACTACCAACATAAAGCCCATCCACTGGGTATATTCAGCCTGAACTATTTTTCTTCAGTCACGATTCTGTATTTACTGAAATTCAACTTTACCAGTAATTTTATAATCTAACGAACAATGAAATCCCACTGCAACCGTCTGCAGTCAGCTCTAGCTTTCTATTACCTCTTCTATCCTTTTCTCATTCATTTCTTCCCTCCAAGTATTTATAAATATATGGAGCAACAGCATCTTGAGTAATTCTACTGGTAATCTTCCCTTATTATAAAGTAAATAATTTATTCTTTCCTTTGGTTATTTCTAAGCAGCTAACCCATAAGCCCAGCAAATCTGTAACTGTTCAGTTTTTACATAGTCTTCGAAAAAGAATCTCAGAAACATTCTTCTGAAAAAAAAAAAAATCCAGCAGTTCTGTGTTATCAGACTGAACACAGGAATACAGATTAACAATTAATCCTCCCAGAAAATGAGACCTGTGAGACACAACTACCTTTATCAAAACATGCACTAGACCCTTTCTTTATGTTTGCTCATGCAAGCAAGTTCTGTTTTGTTACAGTATCAGCACCATCCAACCACTACAGGAGACATTTCTGGAAAAAAAATGCATTTATAGTAGCCATCCTGTATTAGAGGAGGAGAATAAAAGGGGTCTGAGTTCCCCTATGCACTGCAACCTCTACCATACGCAGCACAGCCTTTCAAAAGCAGCCCCTAGCGTGTCAGTGAGCTCAGAAAAATAGCCAGCACATAAGCACTCTCACTTCAATGCCCCCACAGAGCTTCTGTTCAGATGATTAACACTGTCACAATTCTTAATCGTATCATGAAAGAAGAATATCACCCATCACTACTCTACATTTCCTTCCCTGATCTACCTTGTACTATGAAGTCAGCTTCATATTTTCTACTTTGTACTGGCAAGACAGTACTTTGCTGTTGTCCCACACAAACCGAATCATTAAACAAAGGGCTAGATAATCAAAAGTCATTTAGAGTTCAAACTATACTCATGGCTAATTCCTCTGAAATCATTCGGCATATACCACAAGACACGGCTGTACAACAGGTATCATTCTTCTGATTGGATTTAAACATTCTTGCTGAAATTTAAAATGACAGTTGCCCAGAGTCAAAGAAAGTTCTCATGAGAAGTCAATCTCAAGACCTTCTCTGACAGAAGGTAATGCAATTAGTTCACTTTAATTCTTACTATATGATCTGACTTTCCTCAGGTGCCCTTTCATGTCTCTCTACGAGCCCTAATGACTCTGGAAAAGTTTCTTGCTTTTGATGTGCAAGGTTTTCAGGTTTTAACGCACTTAGTAAACCAGCTCTCAAACCCTCTGTCTTAACAGACTTCTATTTTCTTTGCTCTTTCCAGTCAGTTTTCCTTAATTCAACAGTTTCTGCTTCTTAGAGAACATTTTCCTGGTCTATGTCCTTCTGGATAAGAATCAGTGTTATCCTCACAGTCAGCACATGACAGCCCAACCACTTCAGCATTTTAGCCTTTTGGATTCCACCTGAAGAAGCTTCTCAAAATTGAGATGCTTTTTGAAAATTTAATGTTACAATAGTTTACATTTTTCTAAACATCTTTGCTCAAACAAGGTTATTGGAACACAGTCATAAAAAAAGCAGCTCTGATACACATAAAACAAGATCTTGTATGCTGCTCCTGTATGCTAACCCTGGAGTAACTTCTCTACTGTCTGAAAAAAACAGGTAATAATGGGACATTCAGCCAGCCAACACAGGGATAGTTTTTACTTAAGTATTTTGTCCACAGAGCCTCTATGATTTTCATAAGCTCCTCTTAAGTCAGGACTGTGAGACAGTATTTTAATCATTAGGAACACAATTTCCATTTGCAGCACATGATGTACATGCAGATACAAGTAACATCCTAACTCTTTCTTTTTTAATAGCACTTCCTTCAACATATAGCTGGTCAATTTGCTCAATTTTCTTCTGGCTTCTTAAAGAATTTGGACTCCCAACAGCATCCCTGCACCTAACTATCTTCTATAACATTTTAAGATGCCTATTGGATTACTTTTCTAGCAAATGTAGGCCTTTTAATCAACTATCTCACGAGGCAGTTTTATTATATTTATAGAAACACTGGGAAAGAAACTTGTTGATGAGCTGTAACTGTACTCTTAATGCAAGGTGGAAAAGATTAGAACACAGGGATGAAGAAGAGAGGATACTTGTACTTGCTACACTATTCAGCTTGCTAATTTTAACAGCCTATTCACCGATGCTATTACTGGCTAAGCACAGCAAGCATCTGCTGCTTACAGGCTGAGCTATGCAACAGAATTAACATCTTCTGTTTATCAAAAAATTATCCCTTTTACTGGTTTAGGAAAGGCAGATGCACTTCTACTCTCCAGGTTAAAATAAAACTCAGGTGACATTCTCAGACTTTTGTAATGTTTTTCCTTAAAGGCAGGTATCTAACAAAGGAGAGCATGTACTTTATTCATGTACTGTATCTAGAACTATTATTACACATAAGACTGACTTATTACTTCAAGGGCTAACTTCATTGCACTGAAATTGAAATACTCAAACAGCATCAACAAACCAGAAGGTGAATGAAAAGCTACAGAGACTGTTCCCTCAAGTAAGCAGCCTTTCTTTTCAGCATGCCTATGCTATTAAGCACATGAATTTATTCTAAAGAAACAGACAGAAACATGACTGCACCCTTTACATGGAACAACTAATTATTTTTAATAACATATCCTCTACTTACTAGAATGAGTATTTTTCTAACTAGAGTCTAAAACATAATCAAAGAATCGTTATAAAAGGAAAGAAAAGATGACACAGTTAAAGCACGTGGGTGTAACACTACAGGTGTGTAGGAAAGGGAAGTAAAGAAATGGGGAGGTATAAACAGTATTTCAACAGAATCTTTGTTGAAATAAAGGTTACAAGACATAGAATACAT